CGGGGAGGGAGAGTCGGCGCCCGGTGCCCGCCGCCTGTAGGAGCCCTGGAGGCGGGCGGCCTCCGGCTGTTAGCATTTGCTGGTTCCGGCCACCGCGGTGCAGATCTTGGCGTCGTTTGCTTCTTAAGGGAAGGGAGAGGTGGGGTGAGTGTTTAAATTTCCTGTGTGTGTGTGTGTGGTGTCGGCAATGCGAGTGGCACTAGCTGCCTTTGTCGGATTTTGTTCCTCTGCAAAGGGATAGGGAGAGAGCGTTCCCTCCGCCCTAGCCTGTTGCCTGTGAATTCTCACCTTTCTCTTTAGGCTGGAGAGGGTGGGAGATAGATTTGACATATTCCAGTGGGTAATTTAAAAATGCGAGTCTTGATTTGGAACCAGTTGCACACAAAGCATCGTTCAGGAAATACATCACTCGCTTTTCAAAGCTTTATGCCACGTTTTAAACAAGGACTTTTGACTCATGTAGTGTTTCTTCTAGTATTTCAGTTTACGTTGAGTTTATGAATCCAGACGTTCGTTTGTGTCAGGAGCTAAAATACACTTATGCATGGACTTTGCTGTATTTATTATCCTTTTTAAAATCACAGAAATCAGAAACAAAGTTGAGTGAAGAGCGTGGCGGTGCAGGAGGAGGAACACTTGTGAGCTCCAGCTTATTGGAACTGCCTTTAAGAATTTCACATTCTTGCGGCAATAGTACTTACTTGTAAATTGGCCTTCTTCCCAGGACAGATTTTGATATTTCTTTTGCATGTACTTCGATGCAGCACTGATGAAGTTGGATCTCAGTAGATCAATTTTATTTACTTTGCTAGATTTGATTCCCACCCCCACACCTCTTTAGAAAATGGACTTTGGCAGGTAAAGAAGGAAGCGGGAATCTGGTATCCTTTTTGGCTTGTCAAAGCTTTGTTGAGCCATGAATAACAAAGTTTTGACTTTTTAAGCTTGTCCAAGTCCCACATGTGAGTTTTCCCATGGGGTAAAAGTAGGCCAAATGAGAACCAAAGTAGAATAACATTACTTTTAATTCGGCCCACTTGTGTGTTACATTCTCCATGTATCTTGTTTCTCTCGTCTTCTCATCAACTTTGACATTTTTTCATTATTTATTCATTTAGCCACTGATAAAGTACCTACTGCATGCCAGTCATTGATGGCGGGGGTTAGTTCTTGCCCAGAAGTTTTCTCATTTGGAAACTGATCCATGCTTTTATCCCGCTAGTTACCCTGAAGTAATTTGAACTTATGGAGCATTTCTGCCTGGAGACCTGTAAGAATAGGTGTTACGTAGACACCTAGCCTTCAGATTGATTTGGGATATCGTACATTGTAGGCACGGAGCACGCAGGCCACTTAAAAATAAATGCATGTATCTTTGGGCTGTTGTATTATGAGCTTTGCATATGGGCTTGTCTGGCCGAAGGACCCAGTGTCCAAGGTGGAAGTAGTAGTCAGGGACATGTATAGTATTCATTTCAGAGCACTTGGCACCTTTTCTTGCTTACATTGGTCACTAAAATATTTACTGAATTGACTTGAACAGAAAAATGAAGGATTTTGTATACCAGATTAAGAAATTTGGACTTTATCCAGTCGGTGATACTGAGCTGCTAATTTTAAGCAGGAGAATGTCATGATAACATTCGCATTCCAGAAAGATATCTGCAGCATCTGGAGGATGGTGGGCTTCCAGATGGGCGGTATTGAGACTAAGTTGGAGGCTGTTATAATGGAGGGGTTAAGTGCTCAGGGATTCTCTATTCAGATTACCTGGGTGGAATCAGGCTCTGTCATACCCTGAAACCTCTTTGTTTCTTAGGTTTTTCATCTCAGAGTTTGGGGGATAGAACTTGAAAAAATATGTATATTACTTAGAATAGTGAGTGCCACATAGTAAGGACTTAGTAAATGCTAGTGTGCTGGTAGTGGAAGGAGAAACGACATGGCGTTTAACACGTATGACTAGGAGGCTGGACCAGGTAAGTGACTAGATAGGCTTAAGGAGGGGAAGGATGAATCCTGGGTTGTTTGATTTCAGGCATTGATTGACATGTACTGGGTAAGCTGGCTGTGGAATTAAAACGGGTCAAATTCTAATTCTATTACTTACCCTTGGAATTACTATCCTGACAGAACTTTGATTTCCTAATATTTGGGAAATGATTGTCATACCTGTTCAGTAGGGTTTCAGGAATTACGCATGTAATGCCTTTGGCAGGGTACTTAGCACATTCCAAGTGCTCAGTAAATATTAGTTGTTCCTTTAGATGATGACATTAATGAGCTAGTGAAATGTTGGAGAATATGAGAAGAAGCAGTTAAAAACGATTGATGGTAGAGGTGTGGAAGGGGAGATGAGTTCAGTTTTGGAGCAGTCTAAGGAGGTGCTAAATGGATGGTTGAGAGATCCATGATGCAGTTGTTGGATAGTTGTGTCTGACAGGAGCTAGGAAAGAATAGAAAAGAAAAAAAAAGAGTTCACAGAAAGCCTTTATGGGTGTGGTAAGCTTTATAGGAGATTTAGAGGAAGGGGAGGGTGAAGGGGTTCACAGTGGAGCAATGTCAGAAGTGTTGACATTGAATATTAGGCATTTCTGTCCTTAAAATACATTTTGGCCACCATCAAAGAAAGAAGGACTCCAAGCTCTTGTAATCTGGTTGGCTCTTCAGCCTTCTCCCCCTCTTCTTTCTTTCCTTTCTGATTGCCACCCCAAAATTCAAATATCTTTAAATTGTATTATGAAGAACTATTTAACTTCCCCTCCTGCTTACAGGGCCATAGTTCACAGGCCCACCTTCCTCCATCCAAATGCTTCTAGGTTTTTAAAAAAGAATCACAGGTCTCATTTCATAGGTTCTCCTCTGTTTAGGAAGCAGTGTTGGTTGAAAAAGTTATATATATGTATCGTGCACATAGAATTTGAAGACTAGGGCAGGCCTACCTAAATTGAGCCTGTTGGAGGGCCTGAGAGTTTTACAAAACACATCCCTTTTAGCTTTCCTGGCATGTGTTTCTTTTCCTCAGAAAATACAAAGCAGTAGGAAAATCTGTGGTTAATAAGTTGTTTTGTTTGGTTGGATTCAGAAAAGGTGGCTATTTTGTGTATTAGCCTTCTGAGAAGTTACTAAGAGGAATTTTTTGACCAGCCGCAGTGGCTCACGCTTGTAATTCTAGCACTTTGGGAGGCCGAGGCGGGCGGATCATGAGGTCAGGAGTTCGAGACCAGCCTGGCCAATACAGTGAAACCACGTCTCTACTAAAAATACAAAAATTAGCTGGGTGTGGTGGCAGGTGCCTGTAATCCCAGCTAGTCAGGGGGCTGAGGCGGGAGAAATCGCTTGAACCCAGGAGGTAGAGGTTGCAGTAAGCCGAGATTGTGCCACTGTGCTCCAGCCTGGGTGACAGAGCTAGACTCAGTCTCAAAAAAAAAAAAAAAGGAATTTTTTAACAAGTAAGTGCTCATGACATTACAATAATAAATTGTCCTCTAGTTGATATGCTTTTAAAGAAGCAGGTGTTATAGGTTCTATCCTTTAGAATGTATGCTTCCTAGAGCTGGGATCCTATCTATTTTGCTAACTGCAGAATCCCTAAGTACTTAAGCAAATATTAATGTATTGTAAGCCAAAAATAAAATTCTAAGCTCCCCCTTCTCCCCAGCCATCTGAATGGACTTCCTCCTCAGCCAGGGGTCTTTTAAAATTTAACCTGAGAGACAGTTTCAGGTCATGATTGGGAAGTGGGGGTCGGACATGACTTGTTATGCCTTTCTGACGTTAACATTAGCATAGACTTTAAGTCCGGTAAGAAACATTTTACTACAGCCTATTGAAGCCGACTACCTGAAGGCTTCCTCTGAAAGTAAGAACTTGGGTCTCCACAATCCTTTGTCTTAACCCAGACATTCCTTTCTGTTGATCTCAGGGCTTTAGACAAACTCAACCAATTGTCAACCAGAAAATAATTTAAATTTACCTATGGCTTGGAATGCCACTCCCCCAACTCCCCCCACCCCACCCCCATGCCATGCTATTGTCCCACCTTTCTGGACCAAACCAATGTATTTCTTAAAATTTTTTTGATTGATGTCTCATGCCTCCCTAAAATGTGTAAAACCAAGCTGCACCCCCACCACCTCGGGCACGTGTTCTCAGGACCTCCTGAGATCTGTGTCATGGGCCATGGTCACTCATATTTGGCTCAGAATAAATCTCTTCAAATATGTTGCAGAGTGTGACTCTTTTTGTTGACAGCATGTGTTAATGAACAAATTGCATCCAAATTGGCTTTGATCTGGCTTGGCTCACAGACTTCTCCAAATCTTTGAAACAGTCATTGGTCAGA